CTCACCGGGGTTGGTCATGCTCCGCTCCAGCACGGCGATGGAGTCGCCGGTCAGCAGGTGGATCTCGTTGCGCAGCCGCCGCCGCCCGTCCGCGGTCAGGTGCCACAGGCAGGACTTGCGCTTGCCCTGGCTGCACACCAGCTGCGGCGTCTTCTCGAAGCTGTTGCTGAAGCACAGGTTGTGGCGGATGGTGTTCTTCCAGCCGTCCGGAGCCGTCTGGAAAAACGGGAAGTGCTCTCTTTGGGGAAGGGGGGGCAAGAATTAACCGTCGTTCAGCGACTTGAGCTTCGAAAGCGGCGTAACGTTTTGTTGTAGCTCCTAAGTTGCGAGGAAGTTTTGATGTAACTAGCAGACAGGATTGAAAAAGCCCCGCTTCAGCAAAACACTTCTTTTCCAGCAGGGTACTGACTCACTTCACTGAGCAGAAGTAGGAGTCCAGGAATACAGGTGAAACGCACTAATCACTTAAGACTGTTCCTCCCCAAGTACATTGCCAAGGCTCCTCACTACATCAGAAAAAGAGGCCCTGATGTTCTGCTTGATCGCACTGCGATGCATTTTAATGGCTTTAAAGCAGTGGTTCTCAAACTTTTTGGACCAAGTACCACCTACAAATCATCTTCTCATAGGAACCACAGAATATCTCAATGACCGACATGTGCATGTGCGCACACATCATAAAAACTGCACTGAGCTTTTGAATCGTACAGCCTTGTAGGCGTCCCCCCCCCCCCCTTGCCAACACTAGCAGTGCCGTCTGTGTCAGGTTCGGCAGCAGAGCTAGCGTCGGTGGCTGATGTACAATACTCCTCGCTCTTAGCAGGTGTGCGTGATCCTCTTGGCATCTGTTCCTTTCAGCCCTGACACAAATACTTGATTTTTCTGCGAGGTCCTTGTTTTCGATCATTCGTTCTGTTGGCAAACGCAGCGCTAAGCCGGGTCTCCGAAACCCCTTGAGGAGCATGAGCCCTCGAGTATTAACATGTGCTGTACCGACTTAACCAAGAACACACAAACTGATTTTATTAAAATAGAAAATATGAAAACCCGTCTCAAGCTTTCTGAAACCGATTAAGTAAATTACAGATGAAAATTCTTCAATTTTTAATTCTTCAATTTTTCAGTGCACACAACACATTTCCAGGGTCATCTGGTATACCGCCTAGGGGGGTGGTCCGCGTACCACCACAGTTTGAGAACCGCTGGCTTAAAGTGCGTTAAAAATCCCACTCACGCCAGCCCGCGCCTCCCTCACCGCGTGAAGTTGTAGATCTGCTGCACGTTGAGGCTGCCGGCGCGGCTGCTGCTGAGCGCCATGGCGATGAGGATGCAGTAGTTGACGGGCGGCCGGGGCCAGCAGCCCGACTTCAGGTTGCAGCTCTCCTGCAGGATCCTCTGCAGCCGTTTGCTCTGGGCCAGGCCGGTCCTGCGCCCCCTCTCCTTGGCGGCCTTGGGCTTCTGGGGAGCCGGGAGGTCCGGCGAGGAAGCATCCTCCTCGTCCGTGAGCTAGGACGCAAAGTGTTATGGGAAGGGAGGGCTGCTGGCTGGGTATCCGTCAGGACTGCTCAAGTCCGGGCGTGGAAAACCACAGCACAGTGGGTTTTATATGGATCGCTCATAACGGGGGGTACAGCTGACCTGCAGGTCCTCCTCTACAGTCGAGTTTAAAGTGTTCGAAAGGCTGAGCTGTAAAAATGGCCCGGTTGTACCCACCAGGTAGTCACTGGATGACGATGATGACGATGAAGGGGAGTTCGGGGAGTCATCGTGGCCAGCTCTCTCTGGGGGAGACAGCGAGCTGGGGGGGAGGCAGCGGGTGGGCCTCGGAGCTTGAGGAATCCCTACGGAAGCTCCCGGGGGCGAAGGCTGGGTCTTCGGGCTAGGATACTTGATGGGACAAGCGAGGTTGGGGTTCACCACCAGCCACAGACTGGGCTCGAACAGGGGTTCTGCAGAGCAGGAGACACAGAAAAGAATGAGAGCTTGATCAGACTGTCAAACCGAAGCCAGAGGGGGCAGCCGAGACCGGCTTATAAATAAGCTCATTTATGTCATTATCCAGACAGCTTGACCGTACGCTTCAGGATGCTTTTGAAGGCAGTTTGATTCCTTGATTGTATTATTGTGCATTTTTACTGAATATTCTTTAGACAATTATGGGGAAAAAAAAAAACTATCACCTTGAGGCGATGTTCAAATACACAATGAAAGTGCTTTTAAAAATGCATTAGAACGCTGCAGACAAAATCAGTACCAGCAACCATTTTATTTTCAAGCATTTTTTTATATAAACCATCTTTTCTCCTTTTTTTCCCTTAGTATATGCAAAAGGGTGAGTTTAGTAAAAGACCAGTTTGCTTCTGTAGTTACTTCACTTAAGTGATGAAATCAAACTACACTCAATATAGATGGGCTGTTTTGATTTGCCAAATGGACAATTTTTTTTTTAAATGAAAAATTTAGTTTGCCAAGTCAGAATGCCTAAACAGAGCCTTATTATAATACAACAGAAATTAAGACGGAAAAGGTTGGTGGGCACACCAGATTGGCCCACTAATAATCATGTAACCTTTTAGCCATGGCGGTGCTCTTCCCACTGTATTTGCACTTTAGTTTCAGTGTCTAGTCAGTTTTCAACTACTGCCATGTGCTGTGCAATAGACTGGGAAATAAACAAGAATTTCCACATCTGTAGATAGCTGCACCACAGTGAAAACCGCTATTACTGTCCTGGAGAGCTGGGGTGGGTCTGTTCAAATTTTTCATTTCTTATCGACTCTTAACATTAAATCAGTTCACACTTCGCTTAGCTGGACATGTTTAATAATTCCCCCTCCCCCCTCTCTCAACTCTCCAGGTTCCTAAGAGAAAACAGACAAATGGACCCTCCAGATTGGAGACAGTGTGGACCTGCTGAACAGTATTATTTGCAAAGCTGTTATAATGGCAGAGGTTTTTATATTGACCAGTTGCTGAATACATCAAGCTCATTACTGCATCTTTGGGGAAAAAAAGGCATTACAAAATCATATTACTTTATCAGTACAATGTGTAGAGGATCCTGCAGCTCCTACAACCCTGCTGCAAAATTGTAAATCTTGTCTCTTTGTAGAGTGTAAACGGAGCACAATAACCTGCTTCCGAAGGGAGTTTGGCGTGAACTGCATCTGGAGAACCACATACTGCCGCAGAGCCAGGTACTGCTTATTTTATCATCTGAGACATAGAAACACCAGAGAGGTTATGTTTAAAAACGAACCAATACTATTGTTAAGGTTTATAGCAGTTAAGTGCTTAAAACATTCACTTAAAGATATATTTACCTAAAACGCCTCAGAGCTTGGATAGAAGGATTTAATAAGTCTAAGGTTTGCCATAGATTAGTCCTTTATTACAAATACTGTCTTAAACACGCGAGTTATTGGCCGATATTCTGTTAGACGGCATTTGTTTTACAGAATGGTGTAGGCTGTTGCAAAATCTAAACGATAGAGCCTTATTCGTCATCTCCACGCGTGACGTCGCCGACAGGGCGAGTACTGACCGACGCGACTTTTTGACAAAGACTGGGGAAGGCGTTAGAATAGGGCAAATTAGTAACTGCGTCACGCCTTTAATGCTTTGTATTGTGTAAACTGGAGCTGCAAGCAGCTGACAGCGAGGCGAGAAGGAGTGGTACCCATTGAACTCCCATGCCCCGGGCTAAACCCAGCCTGGCCCGGGTCAGCCCTGTCCTTGAGCCGCTCCGCACGCAGTGGCACGGTCCGGCTCCGACAGGCCCGGTCTGGGCGAGCACGTTTACCGGGGCTGTCGCGCAGCGATACTGTAGGTTCGCCGTAAGTCAACATGGCAGCCGCTCCAAGATACTTGGTTAAAACAAAACCGCACTTCTTCCAACTTTCCTCACAGCTCTTACCTTGGCACAGCTGGTCTGTGGTGGTGGTCAATTTAATCTCTTCGCTCATGTCCCAGTCCTTAAGGCAAGTCGCTAGATGGAGGTCTAGGAACTTCGTCCTGTTCTGCACCTGAACATACATAGTCTAAATTTTTTCCCCCCCCTCTATTACTCCATAAAGTTGATGAAACCGGTCGGCCGTCCTAATCGCCGAGACTCTCCAGCCCGCAAGGCGCGCCACCCGGCCGCCCGGCCGGCCAGCTCCTGCCTTTATTCCCCCGGGGCCGCAGTCGGAGGATGCGGGCCTGCAATCAGAGCGCGCTCCCGAATTGGTCTGTTCTCACGCCGACATAATCAACAACGTGCCAAGTGTCCGCAGCGCTGAGGAGGGAGCGGGCGGGGCAGCTTTAGACTTATCATTTAACGAAAAGGGCGATTTCGCCCCCGTCGTTTAGTGCGTGAAGGGGACATGGGCAGTTCACGTCGGAAAAGTTAGCACAACGACCGAAAAACGTCAAAACCAGAACTTGCGCCCGGCAGCAATGCGGCCTGCGCCGTACAATGTCGTAAATATATGCCTGCGAATCCGAA